CCCCAAAACCCCAAAACCCCAAAACCCCAAAACCCCAAAACCCCTCTGAGAACTTTGAAAATTGAAATGCGCCTCAAACTGGATGGTTATCAGCATATAAATTAATTTTCTTCTGTAGACAATTGTAGTGATTCACGAATATTAGTTTTAGTCATGATATCAAGACGGACTGACATAATTTTTGCGAATTCGTCAAAGCTTATCTTACCGTCATTATCAAGATCTCATTGCTTAATAGTTTCTTGGAAAATACCTACATCAATCTTGGCAAATTCTTGCCCAGCCAGGGCATTCTTGAGTTCGTTTTCATCAATTAATCCATCATTATCAAGATCGAAGAATTCGAAAGCTTTTACAATTCTCTCATAATCCTTCGAAATTCCAGAGTTAAGGGTGGCAGAGATGAACTCATTGAAGTTAATGGCCCCATTTTTATCAGTATCCATGCTGTCCATGATCTGGTCGATCTCCTCATCTGTTCTCTTACCTATCTTATAAAGTCCCTTTTTGAGTTCTTTCTTGGTAATGTAGCCATCATTATTAGTGTCAAAACTATTGAACAGCTCGATTTCATCCTTAATCTCATCATCATTGACCTTGGTTGCCAAGAACGAAAGAATTGCCTTTTTCAAATTATTAGATTCTTTAAAATCCTCAAGCTTCTCAATGTAAGATAGTTTATCTTTATTCTGCTTTGTTTCAGAAAATTTACCCAGCCACGGATGTTTCAAGGCTTCTTTGGGAGTGATCCTGTCTTTTTCAAACACAAGCATTTTGGAAATTAGGTCTCTGACTTCTTCTGATGTATCCTTCCAGACCTCATCTTCGAAGTCATAGTTGATAGTTTTTATATTCTCCTCAATTTCAGCGTCTGTTGAGCCTTCAAAAGGCAAGAGTCCACTGACCATGATGTAGAGGATAACTCCTAAGGACCAGGTGTCTCAGGCGCTAGAGTAATTTTTATACAAGACCTCAGGAGCCATGTACAGAGCAGTTCCTGCTCTAGTTTCCATTCTTAGCATCTCTCCTCCTTCTTCTTTGATTTTATAAAATGATCTACTTAGGCCAAAGTCTATTAGCTTAACCATACTTCCCTTTTCCTTACTCGCAAGCATGAAATTATCAGGCTTCAAATCACGATGGCAGATGCAATTTTTATGTCAGTAAAGAATACTTGATGTTATTTGATGAAAAATTCTTGCTGCTTCTCTCTCATCAAGGTTTTCGTTCTCAACAATGTGGTAGAAGAGCTCGCCTCCTTCACAGTACTCTTGAACAAGGTACACACACTCCTTGTCCTCATAAACCTCGTAGAGTTTAATGATGTTAGGATGGTCAAGAGTCTTAAGAGCAGCAACTTCGCCCATAAAGCCATCGTAATTCTTAATATTATCATTCATGACTTGCTTAATAGCCCTGATCAGCCCTGTGTGCTTCTCATGAGCTTTATAAACAATCCCAAAAGAGCCTTGACCTATTGGATTCTCATTAAAATCATAATCATCAAAGATACTAGTGGTCTTATGAGAAATAAAATATTCTTTCTTCAGTATAAAAGCCGATATAAGCTTCTTAATATCAAACTTGGATTTGTTCTCCTCATATTGCTTCTTGTCAAGCGTCTGTTTGGCAGGAGAGGAGGAGCTATCCTCCTCATCAGACATGAAATCATCTACATAAATTTGTTTTGGCTTTTCTTCCATTTCTAAAAGATTTTTAGACTATTTATCTAATAATTCTATTATTAAAACAACCATAGGGGTTTTGGGGTTTTGGGGTTTTGGGGTTTTGGGGTTTTGGGGTTTTGGGG